CATGTTTGCTCGTTAACAATAAAAATATATCACTCTCCTCTTAAATACTTCGACACGTCCATGAGCCAGAAAGTTTTTCTAAACGATAATAGAAGATTGCATACTCTAGTTTTAATGTCCACTAAGTGTCAAAGTATCAATGTCTGTGTCGAACTATGATATGTTACCGAAACTAAAGTACAAGCTTTTATCGTTAGTAGTAAAACCTGCTTCTTTGTACGCAGGCCACGCAAACGACGATCCTAGAAAATACTGATTCTCAATGTATATGAAGTGTTGGGCAGATCTTATAGCTTGAATATATGCTGTTTGAATGCTTTTGTCAATAACCAAATTTTTTGCACAAACCAGATTCTGCAAAGTATATGGAACAAACAATTTAGACAGATTGAGAAGTAAAGGCTAATTGTGAAATATATCTTAGTTAATTTACTCGATCAAGAGAACAGCTGACCTGCAACTCGGCTTGAAAAACATCCTTGGGAAATCCTCTCAAAGATCCTGAATCTATGGACCGGAAGACCTGTAAAATGAAGAATTGTTCGCCCACGTCATTATTATTAAATTCAGAAGTTGCATATGATCCTACTTCAGAATATCAACCTGAACATGCCAATTGTTGGGATCATTTTCCTCAGAAACCCATAACAATGGATCGTCGTTAGGGACTGACTGAGATGGACTGAGTATCCAAGATATACGTTCCAACTTTATTAAAGCATCTTCATGCCAATGTGATACTCTTTTGAACCGCTGACCTAATTCAGACCATTTTGTGGCTTTTCGCCATCGTTGTTCAAAGTTAGTAAGCACGTCATATGCCGCAGGCCCTTCAATTTTGCAATGTAAATCATGCCATGGCTGCCGAGGACCCTTTGCACCTCCCTGACAGATGATTTACAATAGAAATCAGATAACAATTCTGCAAGAGCGGCGAACAGTTTTTTGTAAGTTACACTACTTAAAGACAAACTAAAGTTTTAATTACAGCAGGCACTCACGGAAAAAGTTGGATTATGATAATCATCATCAAATACAGTGTCAAGATCTTTTAACAACCGATGCTCGGGAGTATCGTAACGACCATCGCAAAGGTCAAGTCCTCCAATAAAAGAACTAATCTTCCGGTAATTTCCAGATGCTTGAGTATCCACAATCACGCACTTCTGGTGATGGGTGAAAAGCGTTCCAACAACCTGAAGCATGAGATAAACTAAAAGTTCATTGTGGCTCATAATAACATACATCATCTACAAAACCTTTCCCCCATTAAAAATAAAAAATTAAAGAAAGATCAAAATCAATGGAGAAGAGATTCGCAAAAAAAAAAAAAATGAAGTGGACATATAAAATTCCTCCAGTTTTAATTAATGACTAAAGTTCAAATTGAAAACACAAAAAATTGCAGGCTGGAAATGAATAGAGAAGGGATATGGCATGGGGGTAGGAGAAAAAGATCATCAATGTGTCCCATCATCCAATCCCCCCCACTCTTCAAGTTGATAACATAACAAATTCAAAGCATTAACTGGTATGAAGGGATACCGCATGGGGGAAGGAGAAAAGGTCAATGAATTCACAAGGTCAGGATTAAAACTACTTCAGTGATCCCCCACCTCCCTGAAATGCACCATCATCCAAATCCACCCTCCCTCAAGTCAATCTACGTTCAAATGGTAGTGTGGCAATCATTCTCTACCCAACATGTGCTCAATAGGTTGATTTAAAACTACTGCACGATATTCTAATGCAAGTGAAAATATATAACTCGGAAATGGTGTTTCGGTCATTACATATTGTGCCTTGAAAGATCTACAAATTGTATTACCAAGCTCTTATGAGAATTCTCTTTCTTTAAGGTGATAGAAAAGCCTACTTCCTCAGCCAGACATTGCAGGAAAGGAGAAACTAGAGTAAGTACGAGCATACCATGAAGTCCTAACTACTGTGATAGACAGACAAAACAAACAGAAACTAAATCTGTTGTTGTGACAGTGAACTACCAAATGAACCCAGATAAATCAATTTTCTTAAAAATTGCTAACAATTATCACAAACTACAAGCACAACTATAATTTTAAAGCTCACATGAGTCAACATCACTCGAAAATATATATTAACTTAACAAGCACAACATGATGGCGATGAAATTCAATTTGAGGGTATAACTTGAAATAATCATGAACTCAATTGAACATTAAAATTTTACTAAACTCCAAATAAACCCATCAAGATCGTATTACTAAAATTTTAAATCTAAATGATGCAAATAGCAGGATGGAGAGTAAACTGCAACTAATGAATCAATTTCCTACTGAAAATTTAATGATTTCTACATTATACGTAGTGAGACTACCATAGAAGAACAATTTAATATGATTAAAAACAGGGGAAATTGTTGAAGACCAACATGTAACTGAACCATGGTATAAAGCGTGCCTGTTGCTTAAAAATGCTAAGCTTACTGCTGGCATATCGGGGTGACAGCACACATGACACAGAAGAGTGCTTGAAGAACTTCCGGGTCTCCTCATCATGCGTCTGCATCACTCCAGTCTGCAATTAAAATAAAAATCTAAAAACCATCAGAACAACCATTATATGATGAATTTAACTGATTAACAAAAGGGAAATACAAGAAACTAGAAGTCACTCTTCTTCCCATATTACTGATATTGGTCCTTTGCCACCAAGAGCATTCTTCATCGATTAGTAAAGAACACGGCTGTTATTAATCTCCACCAAAAGAAAAGAAAAGGAAAGGGAAAAAAAACTCGCACCGTGTTAATGAAGAACTTGCTGTGGGAAGTCTTGTCATCCCAAACCAATAACAAGACTCGCACCCCTTCTTGAGACTTGTACTTGAGCAACTCTCCCAAGTTCAAATCCCCACCATTAGGCAACGGCTTTGAAGGCTCTCTCACAAGCTTCACCTTATGATATATGGACCAACCAGCGATGTAGACTAAATGGTGAGCCTCCAAAATGGCATGGCATATATCCTCCCAGCAATTCTCATGCTGATACAAATTCCCCTTTTCCAATTCAATCTCCTCCAACATGTTATCGGGAACGTGCGCGTCCTGATAAAGCGTTACCGAACCCCCATGGCGTACCGGGAAATAGCAATTCCGAACGCCAAAATGTTCGGGATCGGCTGCAATGCCTTGACGGTACAGAGGATTGTCCTCGCACTTCGTGAATTTCATTTCCAAGCGTACAGCAGAGTCCGGCTTCGGCGGTTTCCCAAACGAACCGATAATCGGAAACCAATCATCTATGACTTCGCCAGAAAGAACTCTGCGCGCAGGGACCGTGGCAATGCCAATCAAATCCGCACCAAACACATCGTTATCCTTCACATGAAACTCCACCTGCGAGACCGGATGAGCAAGAGATATTTTGAAGTGCTCGTTCCAGATAGGGTTCTGCGAGTTCGAAATAACTCGCGTCCGAGCAACCGTCGCTCCCGCAAGACAAACGGTGACGTAAGGATCACTAGTAATAATCTTCCGGTGGCGCTTGTGTTCATCCTCATCGTTCTTGGAAAACGGTTTCCGACAAGAAGTAAAAACAGTAAAAAACCGCCGAATACGCTCCGTTAGCAAATCCATATTAGGCAAACGCCGCGCCTCAATGATCTTCAAATCGAGATCGCCGTGCACGTACACCAACGGCTCCGCATCATGACCATTCATTATCGGCGAACAAAAACCAAGCACCAATCCAGAAACGAAGAATGAAGATGAACCAAGCAAAATGCAATGAAGAAATTCCGCAGTCGTAGACAAAAAATTTGACTCAATATAATCAAAAAAAATATAGAGCGTTAAGAGGATAATGAGAATACGAGCCGTTGGCTAACACCGGAGGAACACGACGGCACAAGACCGAATGAAGGAGGCGACGACGGTTAAGAGGTGGAGAGACGTCGGTTTTCCTGTGGTCCCTGACGCAGCCAACGGCGAAGGGCGGAACAGAGAAAACCAAGAACAAAAAAAAAAAATGATAGAAGAAAAAAGGGGCAACGGGTTGGGGGTTTGAAGGTGAAAACTTCCGATGGGCTTTGATTTTTTGACATGCTATTTAAAGATCAGACACGTGGCGCAAAATCGTTCTAAATTGAACTGCCTTTTTTTTTTTTAAATAATAATTATTATTTCTGCTTTTTCTTTTTTTCTACCCTTAACCGGTCATAATTTCAAACATGGCTTCCAATAATTCAAGTCTCCTTCATTTAAAAAATAATTATGCTTTATTAATTGCTAATTTTGCCCTTTCTTCTAATAATTTAATTTCTTTAATTAATTTTAAATTTAAGTATTAAAATTTTAATTGCAAAAAATAATAAATAAGTTAAATATTTATTATAAAAGAAATTAGGGATATATATTAGGTAAGAAGAAGAAAAGGGAAGAATTGTCGGCGAAGTAAGAATGAAAGACGGATTGGAAGGTGGGGGCCACGTGTGACATAGGATGGAAGTTTCTGACATACGCAATAAAGTAAGTCGTCTATTAAAAGCTGGATCCATTTAGATCTTCCTATAGATGGTCTATATAATTTTTTTATTTTAAATAATATAAAATAAATCCTTTTAAATATTTAACTTTTAGATTATTGTAAAAATTTTAAAGAAATTACTCATTTTTATATATTTAACTGCAAATTGTTGATATTGTTCATTTCAACGTCATAAAATTAATTTTTACAAACTAGTTATAAGTCAATTGATGTCACGTAAATATTCCTTTTTCTTTATTTTTTTTTTGGGTACTTTATAAATTTAGAAAAAAAAAAAGTAATAACGTAATTAAATTATATGAATTCATTTTGAATTTTAGCAATTACGAGTCATTTTATTTTATTTTCTTAGATTTGTCTATGATTTAATGACAAAATATGCCTTTTAAGAAGTTTATAATTGCACAAAATTATAACACATTTAAAATATACAGATATAATTTATGTCATCTATTGAAATTTCTTATCAGAAATTGTTTTTCCTTCCAGAATTATAAATAGCCATAATAATAATTGATTTTACAAGTCACTTACAAATGGCTGTTAACAAAAATTCTGGGGAAAAACAATTCTTATCCCTTAATTTCCTATATTTTTTACAATAAACAATGAAACATTTACACTCTTTTAACAACAAAATAATAAGCAGTGGAAGAACAAGAACTAGACTTCCACATGGATGATGCTAATACTGGCTTTGGTAGGAGCCCTTATCATGCTACTCTGAACAAATGCTATCATCTGCAACGAAACAAAATATGTCCATCAAATGGAACAAACAAAGTTTACAAAAGGGGCAAAATATAATCCATTTTGCATATAATAGAAATAAGTTCATGTTTAATTCATCCTTTTAATCCTTATCATTCTAGAAGTGTAGTATAATTCTTTTAGTTTAGTTGAATCTCCTAAGCATCATCATCAATGTCACCATTCCTATATGTTAGCAACTTCTCACGTAACGTGTTTTCTTTAGAAGTAACAAAAACTAGTTATGGGTTGACATTCTATCGTCTTTTTTTGTCGTATCCAAACAAAATGTAACATGTAAAAGGTAACACTTCATCGTCGATTCAACGTAATAAAAACTAGGAAGGAGTGGATTGCAAAGATTAGGCTTTTTTGAAGTAATAAAATACAGCGATTTACAACCAAAAGAGCACATGTCCACGTTTTTTCGTCACTAAGAAGGTCAACATATGCTAAGAGTAAGGACGTTTTGGAAAATTGTTAAGACTAGTCAAACCAAACTCAGATCATGGAACTTGAATACAAATTTAAACTAAAATCCATCCAGCAGAGCAGCCATAGGCATCAGTTAATGGAGTGGAAAAAAGATTCTTACCGCAGAAGATCCAGCACACATGATGCTAAATCCAGGGAAATTAAATGGAGCGTTTTCAGAGAGAAACAAAGCTGAAAACACCACAACTCTGTTAGTGTTGTCATCTCTGGCTGTTGCATTGCACAAAGTAAAGAAAATTTAAGCAACTTACCAGTTAAAGGAGAGAAAACCAATGGAGAAACAACATTGGCAAATGAAGATATGCCTGAAATGCATCCTTGAGCCATACCCTGGTAATCAGTCAAATCCAGGAATATTGTTATGCTAAGAACAAAAGTCAAGTCAGAATGTGATTCTAAAAAAAAAAATGGTTACAAATTTTGATTTTGGTTACAACAAAAGTAATATTTTGCTAAAATATGATCACATATTTTGATTTTTCCAATTGATTTCTTATTAGCTATTCCCGTTTTCGTAGAAGGTGGTAAATAGCCAAAGTTAAGTTGTATTCGAAAGCATGGACATGTCAATCATTAGAGTTTTAGAGAGCTGTTGCTATTAGTTCAATCCATTTTAAACCACCAAAACCAGCTAGAGTTTCTTCTTTGGTTTCTCTCTACCTAAACACAAAGGCAGGCTCTTTTTTGAAGTTGGGGGAGATGTATAATGATATGGTTATTTATTTTTATTCAGCAGATCCGTTTGGTTAAGTTGTTTGTTCAACTAATAACTTAGAATTTAGCGGTCAATTCCACTGTCATGTAAAGACCACAAATAGTGAGGTTATATTTGGTATTTTTGACAGTTCAATGAATCAGAATATTAGCTAGTTTCTCTCTAAATGAAATTATAAAATAAAATAGCCAGTCAACTGCTCAGAGATTATTGATTGATGGTGCTCTTGAAAACTAACCTGCTCGCTTGCACCAACTTGTTTTGACACTATGCTTCGCAGCTGTGGATTAGAAATGTGAAATAAATTAAGTTCAATAAAATTATCAATTGAGAATAAACCCTAAATGCTAAAGAAATTTGACACTCACGCAAGGCTGCCAGAAAACGAACAAAACGGAAAACATTGTAGCAACATAGGCAACCTGATTGATGACAGCAAAATTAGTCATTTCATGACATGATGCAATTTATGGAGAAGAACGGAATTTCAAATCAGTACTATAAAATAATGAACCAAAATTTATTAAAAAGAATTGTGCTGCATTGCCCATTTATTTGCAAAGACGTACCCAGTCAGCCCAAGCAATGCTATGAAGAAGCATCTGCATTCAAAACCCAATAAAACAAATTCAAGCATCCATGAATTGAGTCATTTTCAAATTTATTAACATGAGATTGAATGATTAGAATAACATTCACGACTATTAAGTTTAGAAGCAAGAAGAACGTTAGAGAGCTTACATGAACGCAGTTGAAAAAGAGCCCAACTGAGAGTAGCCTTTCCTCTCCTAGAGCAGGAACCAAGATGGGCATCAAAAGTAGCTGAAATTATGCATTTAATGGTAAGAACACACGTGGAAACCAAGACGGATAATTCACCAGTAGATCGAAAAATTTAAGCTCAGGCAGATAATTTAGGCTACTACTTCTTTTTAACATATTCTAAACAGATTACAGAGGAAGATTAACATCGAAAGAAATGCAGACACAGACTAAAATAAAATAGTATGACGTGCCTGTGAAAAAGTCGAAGCAGCCCCAGAAATCATCAGCAAATCAGCGAACTTATCCTTGTTAAAGTGAAATCTGGCTTTTAAATAGTACTGCAGTTGGGAAATCAAACACAGGTCAGCATATCAATTGTCCAAGACAAGCTGCTCAATTGAAATTCATTAGGCACGAACAGAAGTTTACAATCTGAGAAAGATGAGGTTGATCACCAACGACTAACACTTTCTATTTAAAGTAAACCAAACAAGTCTAATGAAATTATAACTAACAGTTTTCCCAAGCAAAATTGAGATCAACGAGATGCATTTCAGCTACCGGTCAAAAATTGAAAAAAGCTGGCCCAGATTAGATCCTTGGACCAAAAGACTAACCAGTATTGAAGCATGAAGACCAACATCGGCGAGATTGCCAAAAAATGCAACGATGGCTGCTTGTTTTGTCGTGCTGCAAACAATGAATAAGAGAAAGAAGATTGAAAATTTAAGAATAAACTCATCATCTTCCCGTAGAGCAAACAATTTGATCCAAACTCCATGACTATGAGATTACTCAGAAACGAGAGTGTAACTTGAACTCCTATATATTCTAATCCATCAATGGATACATTACTAATTAACTTGACCTCGTGAAATCAAATAATGTGATAATTAACCTACGCTGACTCCATGCTGCTATGTGTTTTCCAAATGAGTTGAAGTTCATTAATATTAGTATTAATTTTTACTTAGAAACTAATTTCAAGCTTCAAGGCACAAATGGAAATCAAATTAAAAAATCGGATCAAATTAACACATACCTAGTCTTCAACAGTGCACAAAGGTCCTTCACTGAAGGAAATGCGGTAATAACCTTTTCTTTTCTGGGCGAAACTGGATCCGAAGAAACAGATTCTACATTCTCCCCGGACACTAGCGGAGCAGAAAGATTGCAATCGGCGATAGAATCAGTAAGGAAAAGCCTCATATACACTACCGCAGCAGCCGCTACGGAAGCCGCTACCTATTCGAGTAGACAAGCAGCTCAACACAGAGTACAACCGAAATTTCAGAGAAAGAAAACCGAGAGTACCTGAAAAGTGGATGAAATAGAGAGAAAACGAGCACAGAGAGTCCCGCAAACGAAAGCAGAAGATCCAACGGCCGATAGCATTCCGAACGCAGAAGCTCGCTGGTGTGCCGGTACATTGTCGGCCTGTAATTGCAGAGATAAACCCAAAGTGATGAGTGAATGGCCATGGCGTCGAACGTTCAGGGTGCCAGCGTTAAAGCTGCCAAATGACTGCTGGAACGAACACGAGAATGGCGGGGGATTTTTATTCGTCCTAATTTTAATTTTAAGTTTTTTAATAATCATGATTTTTTTTTTCAATTTATGAATATTCAAAATTGATAATCTAACTATTTATTAAATATTAAATTTTATTTTAAATAGTATATGTCAATTATATTGTTTAAATCCTATTTTAATTGTTATAATTTAATCATATTTTATTCTCGTAACAATTATTAGTATTAAAAAAATTAATTCAAGACGATAAATTATCATTTATAGTTATATAATTAAAATTATAATTTTAGCACTAAAAGTTCTGAGTGCCAATAAAATTTTAAATGAAGAATTTTGCCTAGCTTCGGTCACACGTTAATTAAACAAACTTTATAAAAGTTTAAATTAAAAAGGAAAAGGCAAACTAAATCTGCCGATGTGGTAGAAAATCTTACCGCATAAGCAATGGCCAAGCACTGAACGCTCCCTTCACAAACCGTACTCGTCACACACTTCAACACAAAATAAACGTAGAACAAATGCCTCGACCTACCATATCCCAGAATCCCTGCAATCATATTACATCAAATTTACCCTAATCTCTTAAATCAATTTAACGCAAAACAAAAGATCAAAAAGCATCATCGTCCTCGAGCAACACGAACCGAGGGGAAGGATAGTGAGAATCATGGGAATAGTGAGCAGAGTCTTCCTCCCGAGCCTATCCGAGAGGTTACCGAGTAATGGCATCATAATAAACGCACCAAGTCCCGTCACCTAAATACCTCAAAAACTAATCAAATTTATATTACAATACAAAACTATCAGTCATGTTTGTAAGAAACTTACGACTTGTTGAAACCCAGTAAAGTAAATGGCCATGGAACACTCGTCTCGACCGGGACAGAGAGCCGACATGGTGACATCGGTAATAGCCGGAATGACCATCATGGTTGCGAAAGTGTATAGAAAACCCATCATCAACAAATGGGTTAGCTTCGAAAACCCTTCCATTTTTCTTCTTCGTCTTCTCTCTGAGCAAACTGGAGGTTCCAAGCTTGGATATAAAGGCCACTCCCCCCCACTATAAGTAACGCCTAATTAATTATTGTTTATTGCGTAAACCACCCACATATATAATGGGCTAACAATAAAAGTTAACAACAATATCAAATAGTTTCTTCCAAGTTTCAATTTTGACAAAAAAAAAAAAAAAACAAATAAAATAAAATAATTAATTGATTCAAAATTAAAAATTAAGAGTATTAAAAGTTTAAGAATCTATTAGATATGTCGATAATAATTATGCACTTTTAATTATGTTGTTCCGAAATACTGGATTCTCTTTCGAGTAGGTCCTGAAAGAAGGACGGCTAGATTGCCAACAAATACTTATTATTGAATTCATCCAATCCGATAGTACCCCATTTTTTGAACGTCAAATGGCAAAGTTACTGCACACTTTTAAAATAAGTTTATATTTTTATTTTAAAAGAGGGATTAAATTTTTTATTATAAATATTAAATTATATATATACGAACTTTTTATGATACAAAGGATGGTCACCATTCATGATTTAATTCATGAAATCGATAAATGAAATAAACTTTCAGTTAAACCGAAATGATGAGAAATTGAATATATTGCTGACGAAATTGCGTCTCTGTCTTCAATAAAACAATGAGTAAAAAGAGAAAGTGAAAAATACCATTTATTCTATTTCCATTTTAATATGTAATTTTAATTAAATTAATTGTTTTAGTTTAAGTAATTATTTTACATAAATGTGTATTAACTATAAATATATAAAGATTATAATATTTATCCAATCATATAGTCTAATTTAATAGATAAATTTCATACATATTATATTTATAATAATAAAAGAAAAACATCGTTCGGGTTGCTTCCTCGTTGGCTTGTCTGTCTTGGAAGTTTTAAATAGCAAAAAGAATACTCATATTTTGTCTTTTTGTGTTTCTTTTTCTTTTTTATTTTAATTATTATTTAACTAAAAAAAAAAAAGGGAAAATGATGAATGAGTGGCTTCTAAGTACATCCGCCCCTCTCTGCTTCACGTTGGATTCATTGAGGAGCCGTGCAAGTAACGCTTATCTAAAAAAATAATAAAAATAAATATATATATATATATAGAGAGAGAGATTATTTTAGCCGTACTTTCCGACTATATCTTATTTTAATTAATATACTTTCAAAATTTTAAATTTAATTCAATAAGTCCCCGATCGAATATTCAGTAGCAAACTATTTTCGTATCTGGTGTGTCTTTTTCGGTCCTCTCATACTAGGGAAAGGTCCTCTCAATGCTCTAACGCCCACACTAGATATGGACTAAACTGTCTCACGACGTTCTGAACCCAGCTCACGTACTGCTTTAATGGGCGAACAACCCAACCCTTGGAACATACTACAGCCCCAAGTGGCGAAGAGCCGACATCGAGGTGCCAAACCTTCCCGTCAATGTGAGCTCTTGGGGAAGATCAACCTGTTATTCCTATATTAACTTTTATCCATTGAGTGACGACCCTTCCACTTGGCACCGTCGGATCACTAAGGCTGACTTTCGTCCCTGCTCGATGGGTGAGTCTTGCAGTCAAGCTCCCTTCTGCCTTTGCACTCGAGGGCCAATCTCCGTCTGGCCCGAAGAAACCTTTGCACGCCTCACGTTTATATTTAAATCCAAGAGTGAAAATAATTTTTTTTTTTAAAAAAAATCGTTTATATTTCTCAACTTTCAAAATTATAATAATTAAAATTCAAATTAATTATTGAAACAATATACACTATAAACTATTATAAACCGAATTCAATTCGCGCAATTTATTAGTAATTTATAATTATTTTTTATTTCATTAAATCTATTTAAAAATTTATTTTTTTCGTAAAATTATAATAGTATATAAAAAATAAAAAAAACAAAATGTGACATGATTTTACAGTAGCAGAAAAAGAGGGAGGAAAAGACGAGAAAAAACCATTCATAATAATTAATACACTTATCTAACCATTTCATGTCATTTATTTGTAAGCTAACATTTAAAAAAAATATCTAAAAAATGTGTATTAATGATATAATTTTTGTATGTTAAACAAGAATATAATATAGTGATTTACTGGTTTGTTATCAAATATGTGATTTCATGGTTTGTTACTAAATTTATGATTTACAATATAATATTTATTATACACATCTCTAAATACACGAGGTCCATAAGTTACAGTGCCATTCGACCTAACAAATACGACTTTTTTTTAATAAAAAACTATGTTTAATAAAATGATTTTAAAAGGTCAAAAGTGATTTTTAATTGCTAATCGAGTATAAATCAATCAATATAAACGTGATCAACTGAGTTTAGGTTTCAACGTCATCCTTCCTCACTAATAATAAAAAAAATAGAGAAAAAACAATGATTTTTATTTAAAACATTATGTGTATATATATATATATATGTGTGATAAAATCAAAGACAAAACTAAATGTGAGGGTAAATGACGGAAAATAAATGCATATATTCTTTTATATAAGTAATTATGATTAGTTATATCTATATAATAGAGGCAATTTTAGCTCTATACTCCAAATTTTATTTTGAAAAATATATTAATAAACAAGTTTATAATAAAAATGAGTTTTTTTTTCACCGTTATTAATTTAAAAATAAAAATGGTTTTTTTAAAATATTCAATTATAAATTTAATTTTTAAAATTTTAAATATATGTCTATTTGTAAATTTAATCGTTAAATTATGATATTTTTGAATTCATTAAATTAATACAAGAAAAGGTGAAAGTTTAAGGTTCTTTAAAAAATTTGAATTAATTAAAAATTTTACGAACAAAAAAATCCAAAATAAAATTTTGGAATAAATTTTATAATTTAAAAAATTGTTGTAAAATACCATTTTTACCCTTCCATTTCTCCCTTTTCCTGTTCTCGCGAACTCCCCCCTTTCTTCATTCTCTTCTGAGTCAGCAGAATCGTCAAGTTTACGCGCCTTCGAAACCGCTTCATTCTGTTCCTTCCAGCTTATCTCGATCAATCGTCCCTTCCTTCCAACATTCTTCGCTTGGCTGCTTCAAGGTTTGTTCATGAATTTTCTTTTTCCTTTGAGATTCTGTCGTGTTAGGGTTGCTGAAATCACGATTAGATTGTTTTTGTGTTATTGTTCCCTATATCTCTCTCACTGTTCCAAAATGTTGTTCCAGAGTCATCTATCACAGATTAATTAGCGTTCAATGTACACGTTCTTCCAGCATGAGAATGGATTGAGGATTTGATGATTGTAATTGCTGTTTTGTTTATTACTTATGCACATTTGTGAAAAACTGGCGTTTATCACTTTATTCTAGGCTGAGTACGGTGGATTTGACCTATGGAAGCTGCAATTCCTTCTCGAAACTCTTTGCAATTCTTCACTTGGTAGTAGTTATTGATTAACCGCCGTGTATTGTATTTTAGCACTATCACATACTGCCAGAGGTTTGATTAATGCCATACAATGAATTTTAATATTCTTTCCGTGATCTTGAAAAAGGAAAAGACTTATCGCTATAACATTCATGGTTGTTGGCCGAATTTCTAAAAGTTGTAATAGTATGAGTAACATTTGTGACATTTTGAGAATTAAGAGAGAGCATTAACATGTCAGATCGCATGATTTTGTTTGTAAATGTTAATCACAGTCCTTTTTCTTTAGCAAACCTGAATCCATTTTTGCATTTCTTCTAAAGCCAGTTGCATTGATTCCATGGTATCCTTTATTTTGCACGATAATCTCAGTAACTTTAGCACCAGCTCTAGATCAAAATTGATGCTCTAATACCAATTGATAGGACTCTGATCTTGCAATAGAAATTGACAGTGAATAACACTGAAATCGTATTGCGCTTGTAATGGCTTGGTCTCTCCCATTGGCCTTATAGACTATGGTATGGATTTCTTTTTGGTTTATAAAAAATCTTCTACTGACGTGAAGTGTCAATTTATTTGACTAAAATGGTTTGGTTTGTGCTATGCAACAAAATGGAATTTCATATGTATTATGATATCCATGGGGCTTTTGTTTTGACTTCATGTGCCATTTATCGTTCATAGAGTTTATATAAACTATTTTTAATACACTTTTTCAATTCAGTTTTCTTTGATGGTAGTAATTTATCATACCTGCCCTCTCACTCTTCTTCTTAATTTCCCATGATGTTTTCATTGGTACTTAGTAGGAATTGGTAAGGCTATAAGCAAAGTTGTCCACAATCATGACAGGGAGTTGATTGAGATTGCTGCACATAGACCCGATCCTTAGTAAATCATTCGGCATTGCCCCTTCGAGCGCGAAAGGAAATATTTAAATTATCCAGTTGACCTCTGCTGTGGAGCAGAGATGAGCATGAGGTTGGTAGAAAAATGTGTTAAGCTGTCAACTCACAAGAACTTTCTGGCTTGCAATAAATTTGGTTACCACCCTCGAGCTCTGCATAATGGTCCAGACACCATTGATGAACTCTTAGACATACATGTGGTAAAAAAAGAAAAGTCCTTTGATGACGATGAAGAAGAATTGATAACTCAGCGACGCCTCACCAGCACTCGACGTGAGTCTCTAAGTCTCTACAGGGACATTCTCCGTGCAACTCGATTCTTTATGTGGCCGGATTCTCGAGGTGTCTTGTGGCGAGATGTTCTCAGGCAGAATGCTCGGAAGGAGTTTGAGGACGCCCGCTTTGAGACTGATCCAGAAATTGTGACCAGACTTCTCATTGGTGGGCGTGATGCAGTGCAGTCGGCTCTTGACAAGCTTGCTGAGAAGCAGAGGCAGGAGATTGATAAGAAACAAAGTGGTGGAGATCGACCCTGATATCTTATATGTTGAATGTATTAAGATTGCTGCATTTCTCACCTTTTTTTTAATTTGGAAAACATTAGGATTCTTCTTTACAAGTTCACTGCGCCCAGAGAGGGAAGGAAATTTTCTTCTTGACAACAATTAATTTAGGTTTATTTAGCATATTATAGGTTTTTAATTATAAAATTAACGATACAGTGTCTTAACTAATTGAGTTACATCAAACTATTACTTGATCCTCTAGTATGCCCTTGTCATGAGCTATGTAAGTTTAGGCACCATCTAAAGAGAAAGAATAGTGCAAACGAGTATAAGAATATTCACTTAGTACCCTTACTTGGATGGCTATAACCATTCAACTGAAATCTTTCATCGATAGAACTAGATTTATCTGAGCTTACCTTATACGACTTTGGCATGCTACTTAAATCATTATGAATATATGAGGTGTGATCGTGTAACTTGATACATATAAACTTTGCCAATAATTTATAGAGGTTAGTTGACGACTCTCTATCACCCATAATTATGAATGGAGTGAGGAGCGATCCTGTATCTAGCAAAAATAAATGCACTAAAAATACGTTAAATTATTATTATTTCATCACGTTAATATTAATTAATATAGTTATCCAAACTTTTATCTCCACACGAAAAGGATATCCGAACAACTCTCGTGGAGATGAACCAAAATAACAAAATATAATGAAGTCAACTATAACTTAAAATGAGCATCAACCGAGCATAACTCAGTTAGCTAAACTTAATGGATTAAAATTTTAAATTTTCATTGGAACTAATAATAATAATAATAATAAATAAATAAATAAATAAATAAAGTGGGTTAGTTTGAGAATTTTGAACTTGATATTTATGGTCATTGAATGAAGTAGTTGATATTACAGAATATTGTTTGGGCTTTTGAGCTGCAAAATAAATTATGACATAAAATGTTGATTGTATAATACAATATAATAGCTTTGATTGTAACCCAAATCTGCCAACCTACTCTTTTAATGAAACAGCAAATAATAATAATAATAATAATAATAATAATTAAAAAATTTAAGGTCCATTGCTATCCATCTTCAATTATTTGATTTTTAATTTTTTAATCCAAAAATTCAAATTTCAAAATCAAATTTTAAAAAATAAAACCAAGATAATAATTTTATTTATTTATCAAAAATAAATAAATACTTGAATTTCAATTTTAAAATAAAATTATTCGAAAATAAATATTAAATCATAAACAATCTCCCTTTCTAAGCTCAATCGTCACGTCAATTTATAAAAATTCTTAAAATATATATATATATATATATATATTTATTTATTTATATAATTAAAATTTAAAAAAATTGGATTAGTACACGTTGTGGTTCACCTTCTATGGCTAGAAACAGTAAGGCCATGGTGGCACTGGCCAGCTCTTCACCGTCAGCATTAAATTTGAAGAACCAAACCCACAAAAGCCCTCAACATAGCTACACATATAAATATCATCACAAAATTAAAGGCACTAAGCTTCACAGAATGCCTCCTCCTTCACTGAATTTGATGTTTTTTCTGTCTCTACTGCTCCTTTTGCATCTCCGACCTACAATTGCTGCTATAACGATCCCTCTCGGGTACTCGGTTCCCGCCGTCTTCGTCTTCGGAGACTCGATCGTCGATACGGGTAACAACAACAATGTCATTACTCAAGCTAAGTGTAACTACCCGCCCTATGGTAGGGATTTCCCCGGTGGAAGCCCGACCGGCCGATTCTCCAATGGCAGGGTTCCCTCCGACCTAGTTGGTATAAAAAATTTGTTTTTGAATATACGTAGGACCTAATTGTAGGAATCCAGACTTTGAACTTTTCTTTTCCGTTTTTGTTAGCTGATGCTCTGGGTATCAAAAAACTCTTGCCACCGTACGCCGATCCAAATCTTCAACCTGAAGACCTAATTACCGGCGTCAACTTTGCTTCTGGTGGAGCTGGATTCGACCCTCTAACCTCTCAAACAGCGGTATATATATATATATATATACTCATCTCACTTTTTTCCATTAAAAATTACTAAATTATTTATCGTAATTTGAAAAGTTTATGGAAATTTCCATGCGCGTTAATTCATTTAATCGACCACTTGTCACTATCACGATCATTTTTTGTCAATTTAACTGTAATTTACGTGATCAACCCACGATAAATTCGAATGAAATTTTTGTGAAATTTCAGCCAGCAATATCACTTGAGGATCAATTAGCAAATTTCAGAGCATACAAGAAGAAGCTAGAAGGGCTTGTAGGAGAAGAAAGAGCAAAGTTCATAATAGTCAATAGCCTTTACCTTGTGGTGGCTGGCAGCAATGACATAGCCAACACCTTTTATCTTGCAAGAATAAGACAACTTCACTTCACCATTGATTCCTATACTGATTTCATGGCTCAATCCGCTTCTGCTTTCGTCAAGGTAAACCCTAAACCCGAACTCTGAGCTTAACCCACTGTTCCACTACAAGTTCAGTTTCGTAAACTTTAATGTTTGTGTCTATTTAGTGCTTCAATTTTATAAACAGGGTTCTTAAACTTTCGTGTTTTTCTCCTACAAAGGAACTGTACGCAGCCGGTGCACGAAGAATTGGATTCTTCTCAACTCCACCGCTCGGATGCGTACCGTCACAAAGAACTTTGGCGGGCGGGATTCAAAGGGAGTGTGTGAATGAGTATAATAATGCTGCAAAGCTTTTCAATGGGAAGTTGCATTCCACTTTGGATCACCTTCAAACTATACTCCCGGATAGTAGAGTGGTTTATGTGGATATTTACAACCCTTTACTTGATGTTATCCTAAACTACGTTAAATATGGTATGTTTACTTTCTCTCAACTTTTTATAACCATTTCAGCACAGTTTGTTGACACTAACTTAATTCTAGGTCACTGTCATATCACACCGTATTTTAAAGCCCAAATATTATATCGAACCTATAAGACTCTAGACTAACTAATTGGCTAACGATTTTCAGGATTCAAAGTTGCAGATAGAGGGTGTTGTGGAAGCGGGTTAATTGAGGTGACGTTTTTGTGCAATAAGTTCGTGAAGACTTGCCCCGATAGCACCAAGTATGTGTTTTGGGATAGTTTTCATCCCACACAAACAACTTACACCCTTCTTGTTGCTCCTATCATCCAAAGATATATTTCTCGCTTTCTATAGTTCTAATTAATTTAACAGTAAACAATGTCACAATAATTTTCTCGAAGTTTTAATGAACTCAAGATATTTACATTCTTCATTCATATCTTTTACATTAAGTTACACGTACATCTTCCTAACAGTCTTATAAGACTAACGACAATACGTAATGAGCCAAAATAAACAATATGTACTAGCGGTGGGCTTAGGCTGTTACAAATGGTATCAGAACAAAAAATCAGGTCATGTTTTAAAAACGTGAGGCTAACGACGATACTTTCATAAATATATATTTTAATATAAAGTTAATAAAAATAATGATATTAAATACATTTGAAAATATAGAATCAGTCCTCTTAATTTACATATTTAGTAATTTTGGTTAAAAAAAATGAGATACTTTTCGTCAAAATAATTTAATTAATTATTGTAATAAGAATATTAGGATTAAATTAAGTAAAATAATTGGCATTAATTAATCATAAATGTTTTTACCCAAATAAAGAATTAATTGGATAATTTTATTTATAAAAAGAGGAAATTAATGAGTTATAACTACTTGTATGCTCTATTTATTTAAATCTATATTTAATTCAGTATCAATTATGAAATTTAGTTAGGTAGATAAATATTCATATGCCTTTTTTTTTTCTTTTAATTTCAATTATTAAATATTTAAAATATCAACCTAACACAAATTTTAATATAAAAGGTTCTCCGACACGAGAACAAAGAAGGGAAGTAGACATGTCCATTTAATTTGTGAGTCTCGACATGGTGGGACCCACTTTGAATGAGTCGAAAAATGAGGGGGAACGATTCATTTTCCTTGGTCCCGTCTAGTCTATGAAAAATCTTTTCTGGAAGCTTAAATTATTTATTTATTTATTTTTTTAAAAAAATTCTGATAAATATTCGATGTTGGAAATTACCGACGAGAGAACATGTATATATATAAAAAGAAACTTTTTTTTTAATATTTTTTTTAGAGAGGGAAAGGGGAAAGTCATACTATTTGACCATCTTTTACCATTATTACTATAATTTTGAAATGATTTGACGATGTTCTAAATTCTTAATTACTGATTAGATGCGAGTTGAGATATCTCGGGCGACCAAATTCACTGAGAAATTGGCGCCCATCTTTCAAATGCAGAGCTTCGACTCGAATTCCATTGTTTGAAGATCGGAAAGGAAACCCTAGACTAGAAATCTGGTCGGTCCAAGCAACTGTTCTTCAGGTTCCTCAAATATGGAGACTGTTGTCGACAAATTAAAAGGTTTTGGGACCGCAACCCAGAGTTTCTTTGATGGCTTAGTTCATCGCCGCGAGAAATCATCTCGCCGCAGTCCGGTAATGGTTTTTATTTGTTCCTATGATGCTGTTTTTAGTTTCCAGTTCATTTCCTCTTGTATTTTGAAGACTTCGATTTTTAGTGGTTCGTTTTCTATAGAAAGTTTTAATGTCCAAAACTTGATGGCTATGTGTTAACATTGATGAATATTGCCCTATGGCTATCCTTCTTGACGAACCTCTTGGCTTGAATTTTAATGAACGTTCTCTATTTGGCTTTGGAAACTGATACGATTGTGTAAATGACTGTGCTTATAACTTTATAGTCAACTGATAACTACTGGGTGGTTAATTAGAAATTATTTGTTGGATACTCGATAGAGAAATATTTCGAATTTGTATCGAGTAGTTATCAAGGGTGTGCTGATTTTGGATATACATTGTGAGATCCCAAGTTGGTTTGAGAGGAGAACGAAACATTTCTTATTAGGGTGTGAAAACCTCTCCCTAGAGATGCGTTTTAAAATCTCGAGGGGAAGTCCGAAAGGTAAAGCCCAAAGAGGACAATATCTACTAGTAGTGGGTGTGGGCTGTTACAAATGGTATCAAAGCTAGGTACCGAGCGGTGTGCCAGCGAGGACGCTGGCCCCCA